CTCGGGCGCCGCCTCTATCAGCGACTGCCATGTGTTGGTCGAGTTGGGGATCACATAACCGAACTCGAAGAACCACTCTTTAGACACACAGACAATGACAATATCATTAATAGATGGCATATTCGGGACGTTATTATACATATCAAAGGTTCCATACCTTCGAGACATTTGCCTTTGAAGAGAACCCTCTGTTCTAAACGAAACTTTTCCATCGCTTCGACGGAAGAGAAGTTGATTTCACGGGAAACGGCTCTGCATTTGAGTATGGATTTGGGCACTCGAGCTGTCATTTCAAATCCTATTAATTCAATTGTCAAACACAACAAGACATCGATTAGCGTTCAAATAGAGACAAACCTTCGTGTTCTTTGTCCGGTTTGGATCTGTTTGTGTGGACAGAGATTGAGATCATTAATGACATGACATAACAGTGATAATCAAGCGTTAGATGACATACAGATCAGTGCTTTCCTCCCAAATGATGCGCCCGTTGTCCGCATCCCTCAAATTCATCCAATTTCTGCCATACATTCAATTCAGTCATTAATTATTCATTCAATTGATCGCAAAATCGCCACAAAATGTGGTCTCAATTGTCTTACACTCGGAAACCGCTGAGAATATCTTCGGCTTTGGATGGCATTTGTGTCACGCAATCATCAAAATCTGTGTCCGATTTGTGTGTTTATGAAGTGATCAATCAATTGATGTTTTGGGAGACAATCAAAAGTCACATCAAATTGAAAACAACGATAACTATAGCCATAGAGTTGTGCCCAAAATGTCAGGCAATCAATGCATTCACTCAATGCATCCGTCAGTACAACCATTCAATGCACCGCTCAGTCAATGCGCTTTCACTGCACTACTCCTGTGTAGCACAACAAATACGTCCTCCACTGCAATACACTCTCTCCCTCTCATCCGATTTGGCATCACTTGTCTCTCGGAACCGCTCTTTTAGGACATTATATTAATTTAATTTTAAGTCATTTTATTATAAAATATTATACTTTTACTCATATCTATTAACTTTTATTTGGGTTCTAATGAATATAAAGTATTGCTTATTTATTTTAATAAAATCTTGACATGTAATATACTGTATATAATTTTGCTATAATTTATTCAAAAGTCTACACAATTTAGACGTCAATAATGAGGAAATAATAAAATGATTTTCACATTTGAAACATGAAATTCAATTTGATTTAAAGAACAGCACATTATTTTTCACTTAAACTCGAATTCTCTTGAATTTCTCGCATAATATACGGAATTTTCTCGATTTCGGCCAAAGCTTCCCATCCGTCCAAATGAATCTGCAGAGAGATAATCAAAGTTTTACTTCAATTTTAATCAATAAAAATGCGAAAGAAATAGATGAAAGACATACAGCAATTGGTGTTATTCCACAACTCTTGAGTGTTCTTAATCTGAATTCTGTGTCGCCTTTCTTAAGGTTGGGTTCGCGACAAAAGTCTTTACGAGTCAATGAAATGATCCCAAAACTAATAAACAAATCAATTGACAATTAAAACAATAAATGTTTGATTCCTTATTCAATATTTATCATACACTTTGGCGTCGACGGGAACCTCCAGTTCACTAATATAAGTGACTGACGCGTCCCTATTGATGGGTACGGGATAACCGCCTTTTCTCATCACAACCACGTGATCGACCAGATGTCCGAAATCGGTGTACAAATTGCTGGCTATAAAGTCCTTTCCGCCCAAACCCTGGGCTAATGCAAACTCCAATGTCTCGGATTTGGCCGAACTTTCAATCTCTTTGCTCTCAAAAGCGACTAATTCTTCGACAAAAGGTTTCAATCGTTGCTTCAATTCTTCGCAATCTTCAATCTTCGACTCCAAACATATTCCTTGATATAAAACGCGAATATTATCGAGAAATTCACTTCTCATTCCCATTATTGTCGACGAAGTGAGCGCTTCCTTAAAGTATTTCTCAAACCAATCGCTGATCTCGTGTTTTGGATAGTATTTAAGCACAAAGAGATGTCTTAACATTTTAAATAACAAAAACTTGGTCTTTTCTTTGCAAAGCTTTGTATGCGTCGACTCTAATATGGTTTTATAGATATCTTCGGTCGGCTTATAATTTGATGGCAACGCGAATGCACTTAAAATGTTTGTGAATGAAGTCTTGGGACTGTAGATGAGTTCGGGATCGCGTACTGCGATCTTATCGGCCATGAAGTCGAGGAGCCCGTAGTGGACGTGTGAGTGTTTGGTCAGTGACCACAACACTGCACTCGCTTTCGATACGTGTATTTTAGTGGGATTTTGGACAATAATGTTGGCCACCATTTCGTACAAACCGTTGTGATAGAAGTCACGTCTCGTCTTATGCGTGAGAAGAGATGTTATGAAACTATAGGATGAGGTGCTGGGTATGGGAGTTCCCGGTGCCGTCACTTTATCCAAACACTGGTTCACAACCCGATCGATAAGATTTATATTAAGCTTAGAGTTTGGCGACGAGACCAACATTAAAGACGCGATCACTGAAAACGTTTGACTAATTGTCAGTTCAGATATTCTGTGTGACCGGACGTCGTGTGCTCTCCGGCGACGCGTTCCCAATGCGTCCGTCGATCTGGGGATGGCGTAAATTCAAAGACTTCCTCCACTTCTACGTGATGTTGGGAGTGATTCCGTTGACAATACTCACCACTTATGCCAATATAGTTGTCGGTCCCGCGACTCTCACAGAAATACCCGAAGGCTATGAACCCAAACACTGGGAGTACTATAAGGTTAGTGGAGTGGTGTCTGCGGACACATGTGTCCACACAATGGCATCTAATACTTGTGGTGTGTCTACAGAATCCAGTGCCGCGTTTCTTCGCCCGCTATATGATAGCAGACAAGCGTCAGGACTACGAGAGAGTGGTCTGCTATCTGAACGAAGAGGCGGAGAAAGTGATACTCAAAGACATCGAGAAGAGAGTGAAGAAGTTTATGCAATACCGAAACGATTACAAGTCGTGGTATTACCGACCGGTCGACGCCCGACCGCTGAGGTTCGAGCGCGAAGAATGGCGACAACACAGAGACAATATCGCCGGACACGACCACAACGTGTCCACAGTTGACGAATTCAGCCGTTGAGCGCATCCGCGGCCACCAATCGCTCACAAACTGTTCAATGGTTTCCTATAACTAGTGGTCGACTAAATATCTTAGAGTTTGTAAATAATATAAAATTGATACCAATTTTAGGCCTAAAATTAATGCATTAATTGTTAGCAATTATTATTTGAAATTAGAATTTAATAAAAATTAGTTTCGTTTGAAATGATTTGTTTTCTTTCATTAAATGATTTTGAAAAAGTGGTCATTATTTTTGCCACAATCTATGAAATGATGCATAAATACAGACATCACTAATAGATGTATGAAATTATCAAATAATACTCTTATGGTTACAATTTATAAAACTACTAAAATTCAAAGAGAGAGAGAGAGAGAGAGAGAGATGAAGACATTTTTGGTTCTATAAGTGGTATTCATTTGAGATTTATTTCTGAATTCAAACAATTAGACAAAACAATATTCAATAGTTAATACAATTTGTTATTAAAAGTATGTTTGGTTTGAAAACCCGCAGATTTCGATGTCAAGTAAATGTGGGTTTATTACTAAATGTTTGCCTTAAGGTTAATACATATGAATTGCATAAATGGGTTTCAATTAACAATCAATAAACTACAGTAAACTACATATCAGTTGGTTTTTGGTTCAAATAAAGTTTCGCATAGAATGTGGAGTAAAACACAATGTGTTGAAAACCATTCCTTTATTTCAGTCGAGATTCTGGTTATTCAAACTTTGGGATCAAAAGTACTGATAACTCGATCAATAGATGTTTAAAATTATTACAATTGTAATTAAGACTAGATTTGTATTTAATATTACAAAAAACAAATGTTAGGAAAAGAGTTGAAAAATGTTTGCAATTATTTTGAGACAATATTCAGACAAATGAATAGTTAATTAAGGAAAAGGAGATATTCCTTAAACTTATGGTATAATTATTGTTATTAATAGTTATATAATCAACAATTTGAGTAAATGTATAGAAAATTTCATTAAAAATGACTTTAAATAACATTTAAAACAGTTGTTTAACAAAATTATGCTTTTCTTTGAATCACAAAAAAATAATGGATTTGTTTGAAACACGCGTTGAGTGAACGGTAACCGCAAGAAGAGTTGGGGAGAGAGTGGGAGACACACAGAGGGAGACAATTATATGACAATTATTCACAAATGTTTGAACACTTCTTAATCGGGAAACAGCTTTCAAATATAGAAGAGTCGGACCTTTGAAGTGCTAACTAAGAGGTCGTCGTCGAAAAATTTGGTCTCAATTATGACATTTCCGCTGATTTAATGATAAGAAACAATATATTAGGACTTAAATCATAGGCAATGAATACGAAAGAGGGGATGGCATACTTGAGTACATTCGCGGGCATCATCTGACTCTCGGGCGCCGCCTCTATCAGCGACTGCCATGTGTTGGTCGAGTTGGGGATCACATAACCGAACTCGAAGAACCACTCTTTAGACACACAGACAATGACAATATCATTAATAGATGGCATATTCGGG